ACATATATATATATATATATATACATACATACATACATACATATAAGTGGGTATGGGCTTAAAGAAAAAAAAAAAAAAAAAGAGAGAGGAGTGCGATTGCTAATTTAAAATTTTATTTTGAGTTAAAATGGAGAGAGATTAATGGGACGCTTTTATAAGTGGGTATGGGCCAAAGCTTTTATTATGGAGGCGGCTCCTAAAAGGCGCCCTTTTTGCAAAGCTAAGCCCGGTGAAGCTCTTGCGTTTGAATCGTTTTTGCCTTCTGAACAAAGAAAGCAGTTTGAATTAGTTTCTATTAAATAATAAAATGTGATATTTTTACATAAAAAGTTCTCCAAATTCTTATATTTACATTTCACAGTTCCAAAACTCCAAGTTTTACATACAGAGTTCATCTTTCTCTTTCGGTGCGTACATCACATGCCGAGATGCATATGATGTCCGATTTGCCAAACATTCTCAAACATCTATCTTCAACGAGCAGTGATGAGCAGCTATAAAAAATACATACAAATTTCATTATACGAACATATTTACTAAAAAAAAATATTTCAAAATAAAATATAAAAATAAATAAATAAAAAAAAGTTATCCCACTTGAATATGAAATCATTGATTATTTCAAATTAAAATATTAAAAAAAAAAAAAAGTTATCCCACTTGAATATGAAATCATTGTGGGATATTATTAAATTTCTTATTAAAAGAGAGATGATATAAGTAAATGCTTTTGAACAAGGAAACTATGGAATACATTTGTACTAGTAAAATGTAAGATGAAATATTGCTTGTCTTTGGGCAGTTGAATTAGGAATGCGAATCATTCCATTTTCAAACTTTCAGAATTGAGATGGTTGTCCGGTTGAATTACCTTTTCAGTGTAAAAAGTGAATGAGTTTAGAATTAGAATCCATCCTTTAGTTTATTTTCTTTGTAATTGGAATTCCACTGATTTCAAAATACACAACCCTACGTAAATTGCTGTCGTTGTCACCCCCGATCATCGCCACCGATCGCCGCCTGCCACCACAGTGCCTCGTCCGACCACCATGACCGACTTTCACCATCGACCAACGACTATAGTGTCTTGTCTCCATTGGCCACCGACCACTTCTGCACCCCGCATCTTGTCACTGACGAGTGCCACCGTTGCCCGTTGCCTCTGACAGTCAATAATTATATAATATCTCACCTACTTCGAAGTGTATTATTTCATTCTACTTCAAACCATACATAGAAATATATGAAGTATGATTATTTGACAGTGAAACAAATAAGTCAAAAGTATTCTTATATTGAGGAGCACGAGCTTGTAAACACCTACAAAAATATATGATTATTTTAAATAATTTAATTTGTGCACCTATATTTTGCTCTTAGCAGGATCACCATTAGAACAATGACAAACCACATCACAATAGAGCCAACCAAGCCACACAATCAAAATCACACAATTAACTAGCCTAACCTAAGGCTTGGTTCGGTGACCTAGCAATCCAGCTCGTGGTGAAGGGGTAGTGAGGTGAGATTAGACTAGTCTTTAGTGTTTTAATTTAGTTTTGGGTTTAATTCATTACATTTGGGCGGTTCAAGTTTAAATTAATATGTGTTTTGTATCATTTTAAATTACAACTTGTTTTGCACATATGTTAAAGTTTATGTTATACATGTGTTACGCAGAGTATGTCTGAGAATTTAGTTCGGACAACGACAATCACTCGAAAATTAATTTTGGATCAAATTTCTTTTGAACCGACATTCTTTCGGCTTGAAATTAGATCTTTTAACACCATATTGGTGCTATGCATGTCGAAGATCGTTAATCAAATTAAAATTGATTTTAAAAACAATGGAATGTATAAATAAAATATGAATTAAATAAATAGTTCGAATTAATATTTGGGTTTTATGGTGTTTGTCTAGATTTAAACTAAATCTGTTTGTTAGTTCTATTAAGCTGTCTCTCTTTAATATTGTCTAAACAGTTGCTACACCAACACTTTCACTGATATATTTGTTTTGTATTTTGTTTCTAACTATAAAGTCAATCAAAAATCTAAGCATTCTCGTCCCCACAACCTTTTACGCGATTAATTGCACATCTCAAATTATATTCTTAGAAGAAGATATTTAATTTGATGCAAAAGTTTTTAGTAGTTATTTTAATTTGAAATCAAATTTCTATTGTCAAAATAGTAATTCACTTTGAAATCTAATTTCCATTATTACAATTCACATTTTGACGATGGAAGTTAGATTTCGAAGTGAATTTTCATTTTGACAAATGGAAATTAGACTTTGTATTGGATGATGCAGAGAATACTCTTACAACATATGAAATATTTCCTTATAAGAATATATTTCGAGGTGTGTAATAAATCACTTAAATGGTTGCAGAGATGAGAATACTTAATTTATGATTAACTTTCTACTTGGAAAAAAAATCTAAAAGAAATAAAATTGCATAATGTTTAGTGACGAACAAAATTGAACAAAATATTAGAAAAAAATTGTAGTCCATGTAAAATAAAAATTCATAATCTTAATCATTAAGCTTACTGCTCTAAAATAAAAAAGGCGGAGGGAGGTGACCTCCGTATGTAAAAATTGAATTTCTGAATATAAGAATTTTGGGACTTTATATGTAAAAAACACATTTTTTATAGTTTAATGGTGCGTTTGGGGGAGCTTATTGCCCGCGTTGCGTTTTAAAAATTCAAAAGATGTTGTTTAGAAAATGCGTATGCACTACGTTTTTAAACAATCAACTGAAAATTTTTTTGAAGGAGAGATACCTCCCGTGCCCCTCCTTCCATTCTTCTTTGATCGCTACCGTCTCCCTCTCAAAGGTGTCTCTCTCGATCTTCGATTACTGCGTTGCTTGGGCACATTTACACTTGTTCTAAAATTTTTCAAGATGAAAGAACCTATTTATATTTGGTGCCATTGTGATAAATCACTAGATGACTAGCGCTCACTCTTAATTCACTAACTACTCAAAGCTGTAACTAACAATACTAAGCAAGATTTGTGTCTTATGTGTGTTTGTGTGTGATGTGAGGTGGTGTTTATGAGCGCTGTGAGTGGTAGTTTTGGTGGCTTGGGCGTGCTTTATTATGATTTTTTTTTTGTTCTAAACTATCAAAATATATAACCAAAATAATTAGTTGCAAACAACACAACTGCACAGCAGCAAAAATATCATTTATAAAAAAAAATAACTATAAATTAGTTGTTGTCTAAACGCACAAATCAAATAGCTATACAACTTATCCAGACCAGATACAAAATAGTCATTTATACAGAAACAATTGCAAATCAGTTGTTTCCTAAACACACAAATCGAACTACCAATCAACTTATCCGGATCAGATGCTAATCAACATCCTATCTAAATAAATTGGATAAACTACAACAATCCCAAATAGTCCCTAATAAAACCAAAATTTGCTTTTTCTTTGTCGAGAAGGCAAGGCCTTCATTTGGGCTTGGCTTTCCATAAAGGGAGCCTTCATAATAAAAGCTTTGGCCCACACCCACTTATAAAAGCGTCCCACATATCTCTCATTTTAACTGAAAATAAAATTTTAAATCAGCAATCGCATTTAAAATTAACTAAAAATTTTCAAATATATGCGATGCTCAGAAACAAAATACAAAAATATAAAACAAAAATATATATTTATTTTTTAAATAAATGTATTTAAAAAACATTTTTAGATGCATAAATATTTTATTTAACTTTTGGCTTGTTTTAAAAAATAAATTTAAATCATAGAAACTCTCTGTCAACTGATTAAAAATTAATTTGAATTTCAAATATAAATACCTTAAGTGGCCTCACCGCCTTCCCCGTCGACGGCCAAAAAAGAAACTGCTCTGTCTGTCTCTCTGTTGTCTCTCCTTTTCTCTCCCGTTCGTGCGAAAAGATGGAGGTGAAAAAAATTGTATGCGAGGGAATGGAGGAGGAGGAGGAGGTGACATGGGTGAAGCATTACTCTTCGTTGCACCAGATTTTACTCGTCGGCGAAGGAGACTTCTCCTTCTCTCTCTCCCTTGCCAAAGCTTTTGGCTCTGCTATCAACATCGTCGCCACTTCGCACGACACCTATGGTTTCTACTGTTTTTACCATCTCTTCTTACTAGAGCTAGATTGAACTATCGGGGTTCTGTTCATCTGTCTTCAATGAGCATTTCTTGTTTATCCGCTCCTTGTTTTGGTCGGTTTAGTGTTCTTGCCGGCTTTCCTGTTTCGTTACGCGTTTGTTGAAAGGGGTTTCACGATTGTTTTCCAGGTTTCCTTTTTTCTAAACTAAGTCACTGGTTGCGTAAAACTTGATGGATTTCGACTTTTTGTTGAAGAGCGTTTACGGGATGGTTCTTTCCTTTTGCTGTATTTATTTTCCATCTGATCATATGTGCTTTGAGCGTTTCGTAGTTTCAGACCTTCTGGATTCATTATTTCACATGCATTGACACCGATCATAAAATTTATGGTGTTTCTTCCGTGCAAAAATTGAAATTTAAACAGCCTATTACCGTGATTAATCATTTACCAGTCATTCATATTTATAAATTTTAAATGGTTTTTCTTTACCCTGCGATGCTTGCGACCCGTCGCGTGTCTCAATACTTTGTATTTCGTAGTTTCTCACTCCATGGATTTTGGTTATTTATTCTGGAAAATATTAATACAAACACAGTTTCCAAGTTCGTTTCCGTTGGTGTAGGCCTTTTTTTTGTTTATTGATGAAATCCCACTTTGCTCAGATAATCTGTTGAAAAAGTATGGTAAGGCTAAATCCAATGTGGAGGAACTTAAGAAGATGGGTGCAGCAATTATACATGAGGTTGATGCAACAAAAATGAAACTCCATGTTGGTTTAAGGACTAGGAAGTTTGATAGGATTGTCTTTAACTTTCCTCACGCTGGCTTCAAGGGTAAAGAAGATCATCCACAGCTCATCAAGTATGTAGTACTTCATTTCTGTCTTTATGGAAGCATAAGTTTATGAGCACAGCACGACAAAAATTTTAGTAAATTCAATCTTTTTTTAATTTTTATGTTTAACTTTGATGGAAGGCTGTTGATACTTGAATATTAATGCACCACATTTTTATACTTTACAGTTATTGTGTTTGTGCAGATGATCACAATTTGTTGTCTAGGGAGATAAAAATAATCTTTTTTTGCTATTTTTATACTATTTCATACATGTTTCTAGATGCCCCAAGCAGATTTTAGCCTTAATTATTTTACCATATATACTTTTTTTATGTGATCCTCTGTTGAGAGTTTAAGATGACCCATTTTCAATGATTAGTAACCTACGTCCGGCTGATATTTCCTTTGAGTGCTTTTGTTTTCATTTTGATGTTCAGAACAGTTTGGTTTGGACCAAAAAAATCGAGTGAGTCTATGATGCGTTAAGGTATAACGAATTGAAAGTTAAGGGAAAGGTATTAAACCTAAGCTAATACAAGTGTAAGTTGTTTAAAAGATTTGACGAAATTCAAGGGAACACTAATAATGTTCTAACTTGATTGGATTTATAAGTTGGATTAAGAAGTTGACCAATTTGCCAAGTAGTTGGACTGATAGTGAAGGTGTGGATGATAACGTGCAAGTGCATGTAGTTATAAATGTTTGAGCTTTGCGTTGGTTTACATTATGTGCTTCTATAGAAGTACTTGCTCAAAATTTTCTTCTCTAATGCAAAATCTCTGTTCCTGATTGCATAACGATGGGCACCAGTTCGATTAGGACAATTTGAACTACCAAAATCCTAGGTGAAAAGAAAGAAAAAAGGAAGGCGAACAGAAAGTTTTAGAGTTGCCCGACCAACTCTAATCTTTTTTCACTTAAATGAAGATACGGTTGATTACAACTAACTGAAACAGTTTTATTCAACTGTTTCAACGACATCAGTTAGTTCAAAAATATTGAAGTTTTGTTCTTAACTTTCTTAATCTTGTTTGCATATTTCTCTGTCTTCTGGTGCCACATCATTACCCTTGATGGAAACAACGTTTTTTGTCTCTAAGGTTAAAATTAGGATAAGATGACTAAAAGTTTTTCTTGATGATGAAAGTGAGGTAAAAACACGGAAAGTGTGCGGGAGATTTTCATATGACACTTGGTGAGATAATGGATGTTGGGCGTAAGATTTTTTCCTCAATGAAAAGACTAGACTCATTAGATTCAGGATTTGAATTGGATTTAGGTTCAAGACAAGAAGAGTCAAAATTCGTAGAGGAGGTGGTTTGAACATGGGATAAATGATTAGTGAGGATATTAACTGGTGCCTCGCAGATTCTGGTCAGTGCAAAATATTTGTAGATTTTTTTTTAGTTATTCTCTACCGTGAATAGACAAAATCAAGCGGTATTACCTTCGTAAATTTTTTTTCTTTTAATAACATTTTGTTAGTATTTTCAGGTTAAACATTGAAAGTTGGGGATATACTATTTGCAAGTCTTTAGTTTGAAAAAAATTCTGAAATTCATAAGACAAATATTTATTTTCTTCTCTCTTGAAGATGATGTGAAAAAATGAGTTGAAGTTTAAAAAAGGTGTTAACCATGGTAACAAATATTTTCTTAGTAGTGAGATCAAAGGATTTATACCTCTTTTGGCTTGGAGCATAACCAACAAACACATTATTTGACTCAAGTTTTAGGTTTTCTTTGATCATGAATGTGAAAAAAAGCAGTATACACAAATATCTTTAGAGAAAAAGAAGATTTGATTCTTTGGATTTTTTTTTTGAAAATTATCTTTTGAAAATTATCAAAAGCGTTTCCAAAGTTTAAGACTTTGTCGGGTGTTCTATTTATGAGAAATGTAGAAGCAAGAATGACTCCTCCCCAAAGATATTTTGGCATTTAATTGGTAAATAATAAGGCCCGAGCTACCTCCAATAGTTGTTTGTGTTTCATTTCATCCAACTCATTTTGTTGTAGAGTGTCTACACAAGAGCTTTGATGAAATATTCTTTTTTCAGAAAAGTTTTTCCCAAAGTATTTTTAAAATGAAATAATAATTTTACCCCTCTCAAAAACTACATGGTATCATAGCTTTAGGAGGTTAGCCCTGGGATTCATTTGTTTTTTTCTGCCAGGGCTCGTTTCAGCTTACTCAACGTCATTGCCTTCTTCCTGCTTTGGCTTCGTCAGCGTCTGTGGCTTCATCTGAGACATCTACAACGAATTGCGTCAAATAACGTTTGCGCCTTCTTCATCTGTGACATTTGAACGAACTGCATCAACCGGGTCTTCACCTTCTTCATATGCTTCGGCTTCATGTTCGGCTTCGTCTGTTGCATCTGCGGCGAACCGCGTCAAACTGCTACGCAACTAATCGCGCCAATCGTGTCTTTGCCTTCTTCATCTGTATTGTCTGATTCACGACCCCTCGCCGTATAGTTCGATTATAGTTTGCTGGGAAGGCAACAACTACATCGTGCCGTATAGGAATTTCACGCGTTCTTGAGTTTCGTGGCACTTGTGTAGGAAAGTGAAATGATCTCTACGTAAAGGAGTTCCACGCCGTTTTTGATCACACACTGTAAAGGAGTTATGTGCATTTCTTGATTGAGCTTTTCTTGGATTCGGAGGATGTTATACAAATCAGAAGTGTTGACGAGAGTTCAAAGAAATTTTATCACATTAACCAGTTCTAGTAATTCTACAACCACCATACCTCACTCGATAGCTCCTCTAATGGGAATTTCAGCTGAATATTTATCTTTAACTTTTTCTCCTTGCCCTCACAATTATAAAAACGGACACAATCATCTTGAGTGGGCACAATCTATTAAGTTGGTGCTCTATAAGAGAGGCAAAATTGGGTATTTAACCAGAAAAATCCCAAAATCTACTGCTAATGATCTAAGTCTGAGAATTGGTAGTTTGAAAATTCTCCAGTAATGACATTGCTTATCAATTTCATGGAACCGTCTATAGGAAAATCTCATATATTCCTTCACACTGCTCTAGATATCTAGGAGTCCGTTCAAGATCTCTATTCAAATTTGGAGAATTTTTTATACATTTTTTAGTTGGAAACTACTTTAAAAATCCAAACAAAATGGTCATGATATTACTACTTTTTACAATGAGTTGGTAATTTTATATCTAAGATTGATTAATGTTAAGATGAAATTTGGGAGAATTCAAATGACAATGCTCACCACAAAAAAAAAAAAGAGGAAAACAATCGAGTCTGCCTGTTCTTCATTAACCTTTTTCTGAGTTAGATGAAGTTTGACGTTAAATCCTTGATAGAAAACCTCTACTCTCAATTCTAGAAGTCTTTTATGAAGTTAGACATCAAGAGTTCAGAAGAAAAAAGTATGTTGAACAACACTGAAATTTCTGATAATATTGAACAGGAGAACTCAGTCCTTGTGTCAAAAGAGGTTGATACTTACAAAGAATGATGAAAAATATCATGGTGTCAGTATTACAAAAATTCATAACACACAAAGGAGACATGCAAGAAGCTTTATAAAAAATCTGCAAATTGGAAATTAAAATCCAAGCGTGAAGGTAGAACTTATCAAGCCACTGCTGAAGGAACTCGGGAGTCTTCTGCTAACTTGAATGCAATCCCTTTCACCAATGAGCAAATAGAGCACTTGCACAAATTATTTCAATCTCCACAATCTTCCGACTTTGTCTTGCTCTTTAGTGTAAAATGACAACTCTTTAACCATTCCTTTGTTAGGTATTATTCCTAGTTTTTGTCATTCTTAGATAATTGACTGGCGTTTTGATACCATGTAGTTTTTTGGAAGGGGAAAAATTATTATTTTACTTCAATTTCATAGAAGAACAATTACAAGTTAAATAGAGTATAGGATGGTTCGCATATTTAGAAAACAATATTATCAATCATTTCTCTCGTAATAAAAGAAAAGAAACAAGAATTATGACATATCAATGCTAGACGATACTAAAAATAGAAAATATTAATACTAGAGATACTGAATATCCAACATTTAGAGAATGTTTTCTTTAAACAATTCTCATGTACTCAATTGTTTATTAATATGCATCCCTTGATACTAGCTTAAAGCTGGTTATGTCGATGCAATTGTAAGGCTTTGTTCCTCTGTCAAATTTTATCACCTATGGAATTGATTAGCTTTAAACAACCAATTTTGTGGATTATCTCCATATAACGGGACATCTATTTTCACTGCCACATGTTTATTAGTGCTGAGGCAATTCTTGAATGTAATTCAACTTATTTTTCAAAAGCGAATGCACCATCATCCCCCACCAGAAGTTTCGTTAGATCTCAAACTTGTTGCAGCTTCTATATTCTTATAGATTGGGGAAAGCCTTCATGAAACTTCATTATAAAACAACGCCAAAGTTGGCTATTACTTTTCTGATTTGCACAAATGTGTCGAACATTCATCCAAAAGACCTCGTCATTGTCTGGGTAGCATCAACCATTTTGTGAATTTTGCATGGTGATGGCAACTAGTATAAAGTTCTGCCAAAACAAAAGCACCAATGATGATTGCCACTTCGAACTGCCAAAAATTTTGTAAGATGGAAATAAAAAAGATGGAAGGAGAACAGCATGGAGAACAGGATAAGGATGAACAGGGAATTTCACTTTTTGTGTTGCCTTGCCACATCTAATTTTTCTTTATAGCTTTGATGAGTATCTTATCGATTACAACTAACTGAGATAATGTTTTTTAGCTTTTTTGGCAACTAGTAACTAATTGCAATTATTAGAGTTGGATTCTTTATCAAACTATTTATATTAACTATATACAATTAAAGATATTTGTATTAAACTACTTTTCCAACTATTTATCTTAATTATATAAAAACAAAGATAGTAGTAAAACAATAAGCTAAAATCTCAATTAACCCAAACATCAATCTCTGATGACTTGTTGTTCTGCGGCTGATATTTTTGAACAATCAATTTGAAATTTTTTGTCA